ACTCCCACCTCCAGTCTATGAGATGTGGGCATATATTTAAGAGAAACAAGGACCTCACCAACAACGTCCTGCAAAATGAAAAGTTAGGGTATTTTACAAGACTACAAAAACTTCTTGAGCAAGTTTATATCTGCTGCCTATACTATGTTTACAATTTCAGATCAACTTATGTTAACTAAGTGCCGAAGTTGCTAACAACCGGAGATATGCTAGGAACAGTTACCAAATATATACATGCCTTCATCACTTAAAAAGGTTGAATATAATATAATATAATATAACACTGTAGAATTTATTGTTTCTGGTTTAAAATATGACTTACAGTATTTATTTGAATTTACCACTTTAAGTGCTATTTCAGTGTCATTACAGCAAACATGAGAATTTGCTCTGAATAAACTTTTCACTTAGAATATTAATCAAGAACTTGTGAAGTTCTACTTTGACTTAATATTTTTGTTGGATTTCCTCCTAATCTTTAGACTCACTTTCTTTGGTCTTTGTAGGCCTGCCAGCATTTCCAATGGAGATGAGATTTTTAGACCATTCAGAGATGCACGGACATCCCCCAGAATACCATGTCGGGAGTATTTATCAAAATCTCTCACCTAGAATGACAAATAATTCTTAATACAGAAACAAGATACAGTGCCCTTCACTAATAATGGCACCCTTGGTAAATATGAGCAAATAAAAAAATATTTATTGTTTAACCGTTTGATCTCTTTTTCAAAGAATTCACAAAAATAGCAATATCAAAATAAATATCAAACAATTGCAAACAAGACACAGGTTAAAAAAAAACTGTGTTTTAAATATGTGTGCAACAATTATTGGCACCCCTGTATATTCATACAAGGAAAATACACTGCTCAAAAAAATAAAGGGAACACTAAAATAACATCCTAGATCTGAATGAATGAAGTAATCTCATGAAATACTCCTTTCTTTACATAGTTGAATGTGCTGACAACAAAATCACACAAAAATTATCAATGGAAATCAAATTTATCAACCCGTGGAGGTCTGGATTTGGAGTCACACTCAAAATGAAAGTGGAAAACCACACTACAGACCGATCCAACTTTGATGTAATGTCCTTAAAACAAGTCAAAATGAGGCTCAGTAGTGTGTGTGGCCTCCATGTGCCTGTATGACCTCCCTACAACGCCTGGGCATGCTCCTGATGAGGTGGCGAATGGTCTCCTGAGGGATCTCCTCCCAGACCTGGACTAAAGCATCCGTCAACTCCTGGACAGTCTGTGGTGCAACGTGGCATTGGTGGATGGAGCGAGACATGATGTCCCAGATGTGCTCAGATGTGCTCCAGCCACATGAGGTCTAGCATTGTCTTGCATTAGGAGGAACCCAGAGCCAACCGCACCAGCATATGGTCTCACAAGGGGTCTGAGAATCTCATCTTGGTACCTAATGGCAGTCAGGCTACCTCTTGCGAGAACATGGAGGGCTGTGCGGCCCCCCAAAGAAATGCCACCCCACACCATTACTGACCCACCGCCAAACCGGTCATGCTCTAGGATGTTGCAGGCAGCAGAACGTTCTCCACGGCGTCTCCAGACTCTGTCACCTCTGTCACATGTGCTCAGTGACCTGCTTTCATCTGTGAAGAACACAGGGCGCCAGTGGCGAATTTGCCAATCTTGGTGTTCTCTGGCAAATGTCAAACGTCCTGCACGGTGTTGGGCTGTAAGCACAACCCCCACCTGTGGACATCGGGCCCTCATACCACCCTCATGGAGTCTGTTTCTGACCGTTTGAGCAGACGCATGCACATTTGTGGCCTGCTGGAGGTCATTTTGCAGTGCTCCTCCTGCTCCTCCTTGCATAAAGGCGGAGGTAGCGGTCCTGCTGCTGGGTTGTTGCCCTCCTACGGCCTCCTTCACGTCTCCTGATGTGCCATCCTAGATGAGCTGCACTACCTGAGCCACTTGTGTGGGTTGTAGACTTGTTTGCAATTGTTTGATATCCATGTGAGCAGAGAATTTTTGTGAATATTTTTTTTTAACAAAAGCTCAAAAGGTTAAACAATAAAGACAATTTTTTACAGCCTTCTTTGTTCATATTTAGCAAGAGTGCCAATATTAGTGGAGGTCAAGGTACATTCACATGCGTAATGAATGAAGATGTTAAGGGTCAGATGTATGAACAGGAGGCCACACAAAATGCATTTTGATGTGACCATACACTGCCCTCACAGAGCGTCTAAAATTATTTTTTCACATGGGTGACAGGTGTTGCATAACCTTTTTTTCTTCAATAAAATAAGGGATCATATAAAACTGTGTTTTGTGTTTCCTTATGTTCTCCTTGTCTCCAGTGTGGCTTGTTTCAATGTGACTCCCTGTAACAATTCAAAATGTAGCTTAGTTAAAGCAATATATTTAAAGCTGCTTTAAAGGTGCAGTAATGACCTTTTGCCTCTCTATCGGCATCTCTGTTTGAAACATAAAATTGCAAGTTACTTGCAGAGTTTTTATTTTTATTTTTATGTGGGTTGTGCTTTGGCACTGTTCCTCTGCGCGGATGAATATGATGGTATATATGGGTTGTTTAGTAGTTGCAATACTGGACAACACATACGTTTTTCTTTGAGTAGAGATGAATTGTTCTCCCTCATAGCTAGCAGAAAATACGTGCAAAAACAACATGAAAACTTGAATGTTGTTTTACAAATGAGATATTTTGCTGAAATCAGGTGAACAAGTGCACTAATGTTAGCTAGCTACCAAGAAAGCCATTGAAAGGTCTTATCTGTTTAGCAGAGAAAAAAAAGCCATCTTTGTATCAGTCTTCAATCCCTTTAGATCTCGGAGTTGTTGCAACCTCTCAAAAGCAATGCTGATATTTATTCTCGTTTTAGCATGGGCTCAGTTGCTTTACCTTTTTGACTGCAGGCTCTCTTCAGTTTGAGGTTTCTTGGTTTTGACAACAGTTAATTCCCCAGATGTCAACAATGATTTCCATTTAGAGCTATCCAGATTAAAAAGCAACCAAGTTTAAATTCTAACATGCTACCAAACACCCCACCATCCTCAGCACCCACAATCAGGATATATTAGCTGGGTCTTCTTATTTCTGTTTACAGACGTGATGTAATCACACGAAGATGTCAAACTGACATTTCTCGCAAAATCTGTTAGGTAAGGAGACAGTTTTCCAAACTGTTTTTTTATGTACTTGCTCAATAATTGATTTTTTGTTCATTTATAACCAAATAAAGTTCCATAATGCAGCTCTAATATTAATTTGTGAAATAAATTAATAAAATAAAAAAGAAGGGATTGAGTTTCTCTCACAATCCTATTTGTAAATCAAGTGACCTCACACATTGTCATGACCTCTAGTTTGGGAACTCCTGTACTAGGGGTACAGGAGCAGCAGTAGAAACCAAAGTTTTTGGGCACACATGTCTGCCAAATGTTCGGGTGACAGAGTGGCTAGGTTTCTCAATGATTTTGCTTCAGCCTCACTTTGCCTACCACCAGGAAGTGGTCACTGATGGTGTCTGCACTTTGGCACACCCACACATCCTGAAGTTGATGATGTGGTGGTTATCTGATTGACAGTACATCAATCTGAGGAGGACCAGATGAGCTTGTGGATGCATCTGTGTGTGAAGATGGTAGCACCAATAATACTGCTGTTGTTAAAACAAACAAAGAATGGTTGGCACAATCTATACTGCTGGACATGTGTATAAATCAACCTTATGAAACCTGTGTGCCAGGGTTGTCCTATAGACCTGCAGGCCTTGACGGGGCACTAGTTTGGGGAAATTGAAGCCAGTACAGCCAAATAGACTGCCCACATTGCTCTCTCAAAATGCCACAGCCTCGTTCACCAGCTTAGCACCCACGTACAGTAAATACCATTGGACTCGGGTGAGCCCAAGTGGCCAGAGTCACATTTTCAGCTACCAAGCAGTTACCCATGTGCTCCCATGTACTCCATAGATCAGGATCTTAAAAACACCAGTTCAGATCATCTACAGCTAAGTAGTCCAACCACAGGGACAAATGCAGGCAATGGACTCTCTCTTAGAATGTGTGAAGGGTGGCCCACTGACCAACATGTTGCAATTATTTCCTTTCACCTGATGGTAGAGAGCACCCAGAGCATGCCAAAGTTTGACACCCACAAGCTGACTACACAAACTACAAGGAACCACTTCAAGTGCTTTTGAAGGCAATGAGGAGGAAAAGGAAGACTTAGCAGAAAAATGGTGTAAAATCATGAAAGTATTCAGTGAAATACCAAAGAAGGTACTTGAGTACAGAAAGAAGAAAAGAAAGGAATGGCTGTCAGTAGAAACCTGGGAGAGAATTGAAAAAAGGGGGAAAAAATTTACTAATTTAAAAGAGAGACTTCTAAAAACAGCTCCTCAGCTCGTTACCTGTATAAAAGACACCTGGGAGCCAGAAATCTTTCTGATTGAGAGGGGGTCAAATACTTATTTCCCTCATTAAAATACAAATCAATGTATAACATTTTTGACATGCGTTTTTCTGGATTTTTTTTGTTGTTATTCTGTCTCTCACTGTTCAAATAAACCTACCATTAAAATTATAGACTGATCATTTCTTTGTCAGTGGGCAAACGTACAAAATCAGCAGGGGATCAAATAATTCTTCCCCTCACTGTATGTATGTATGTATGTGTATAAGATATATGGCAAAGTTTGGGAGAGGGAAAGGAGGAACTATGGAGTGGATAAAAGTCTGTACATCAGCAATGTGTGTGTACCAGACTAGACTGAGCTTGTGTTCCATGCAAAGACAATAAAAAAGAAGAAAACGTGTCTCACTGTTCCTAATGGCTTTTTGTCTAGTTTCAGGTCTTTTCTGTGATTTTTAAGATGTAGTTACTTTAACAATTCGATAGTAGCTTATAGCATATGTGTGGTAGCCTCTTGGCTTAATTTTGTTTGGAATTATCATTGTCATCCTGCCTTACCAAAATCTAGGGTTAGTTAAGAAGGGGGTGGTGTTAGCTCAGTGGTTAACATATAGGAGCTCTGATCTGAAGGTTGTGAGTTCAAATCCCAGCACCACCAGCATGCCACTGCTGGGCCCCTAACCCCAAACTGCTCAGCTGAATAAACGAGATAAATATAAGTTGCTCTGGATAAGGGTGTCTCCCAAATACCATAAAAATTAAGAAACTGCTCAATGATGAGTCCTTCACCCCTTCATGTGTCTTTTTCATGTAATGTATTGGCTTCTGATGGCACATTAGCCGCTGAAAAATTCTCCCACAATCAACTAACCTGATTTTTCTAACCTTAATCTGAACATAATTTCTTTTGTATTAGTTGATTTATTTTTATTTTTTAAAGAATTGTTAAGCTTTATCGGCCAGGGAGACTTGCTCCATTCAACCAAGGAACTTTTTACAGGTATTTCACAGAGAGAGAGAGAGAGAGAGAGAGAAAAATTCCGAAAAGCGAAGCTACAGAGATAGCCACCAAACACCTCTGTTTAAATTTTGATCAAGACACAAGTGAAATTTGATCACTTATCAAACTTTAAAGGCAATCAAAGGCACATGTATCATTGCAGAAGACAAGAATCCCACACTTTCCTGTGCCTGCTTTCTTACATAGCAGGCTTCCTCACCTCCAGCCGCACTGTGACCCTCGGCATTTCCTCCTCAGTCACTGTGCAGGAGAACTGATCCCCAAATGTAGGGTTGCAGCTATCCTTGACTGGGAGTGTCTGCCATTCCTGAAGCACACAGGTCAGCTGTTTCTCTTCATCCTCCACTGCTACCCATAGCACTCGTACATTGATGAAGGGGTCCACATGCTGGCTGAACGTTCGTGCCGCCAGGCCTCTTGCCTCCAATACAGTCACCACCAACCGAGACTGCAGCTGATCATAGAAGAGTGAGAAGCGCAGCGTGCCCTGAATGTGTTCCTCATCCACATCCTCGAGACTGTCTGTACTGTTGGCCAAATCAGAGCTGCTGTACAGGCAGCTACTTAAGGATCCCACTTCATCATGGTGGAAATACAGCTGAAAGAGGAGCATGGATATAAATGGTTATGTGTTTAATTATTCTCACTTTCTACACAACATTTCTTAATATGCTCTCATAACAGTGATGGTATTTTACAAATTTTTAAACTTTTTAGAAAAAATTGCCTTAAGTGAATCAGATGATTACATTTGCAGGAATCACTTAATTCAACGTTTCTTTTAATCTGCAAACCAACACAAGCATAACCTGTGTAATTTTGGCTTTGTGAGCTAAGCAGTTATAACAGAGCTAAACTTCCACGATTTTCATAATCTAACATACATTCCTTACACATGCCATTCTTTACCTGTTTAAGTTTCCCTATCATCTTAACTGTGGGTAGTTAATAAAAAAAACCTGTTTTATTAACTACTTTAGAATAATAATAATGATAAAAATATTAACACTATGAAATAATACATATAGAAATATACGGTAAGTATTTCCCCAAACTAACTGTACTAAAGACCCACCTGTTTTCCCTTGCGTATTTGCAATTGTAATTTATTGTGCTGATATATTTTCTTGGTGTTATTTTTATTAATCTGAATTCTTCTTACTATTTATTATATGTTGCTTACTTTTTTACAGCACTTTGGTCAACTTTTGTTGTTTTTAAATAATGAAATAAGCTATATTAATAACTTTTGATTGATTGATTACTTTTTTTGTGTTCGCCAATTCTTTTAATAAAAGAATTTAACGCAACTGTCACTGTCTCTGCTGACTGTCACTTTATCTAAATGTATATATATACAGTGGTGTGAAAAAGTGTTTGCCCCTTCCTCATTTCCTGTTCCTTTGCATGTTTGTCACACTTAGTGTTTGAACATCAAACCAATTTAAACAATAGTCAGGACAACACAAGTAAACACAAAATGCAATTTGTAAATGAAGGTGTTTATTATTAAAGGTGAAAAAAAATCCAAACAATCATGGCCCTGTGTGAAAAAGTGATTGCCCCCCTTGTTAAAACATACTATAACTGTGGTTGTCCACACCTGAGTTCAATTTCTCTAGCCACACCCAGGCCTGATTATTGCCACACCTGTTCACAATCAAGGCATCACTTAAATAGGAGCTGCTTGACACAGTAAGGTCCACCAGAAGATCCTTAAAAGCTACACATCATGCCGAGACCCAAAGAAATTCAGGAACAATTGAGAAAGAAAGTAATTGAGATCTATCAGTCTGGAAAGGGTTATAAAGCCATTTCCAAAGCTTTGGGAATCCAGCGAACCACAGTGAGAGCCATTATCCACAAATGGCGAAGACATGGAACAGTGGTGAACCTTCCCAGGAGTGGCCGGCCGCCCAAAATTACCCCAAGAGTGCAGCGACAACTCATCCAAGAGGTCACAAAAGACCCCACAACAACGTCCAAAGAACTGCAGGCCTCACTTGCCTCAGTTAAGGTCAGCGTTCATGCCTCCACCATCAGGAAAAGACTGGGCAAAAATGGCCTGCATGGCAGAGTTCCAAGAAGAAAACCACTGCTGAGCAAAAAGAACATCAAAGCTCGTCTCAATTTCTCCACAACACATCTTGATGATCCCCAAGACTTTTGGGACAACATTCTGTGGACCGATGAGACAAAAGTGGAACTCTTTGGAAGGTGTGTGTCCAAGTATATCTGGCGTAGAAGGAACACTGCATTTCATAAAAAGAACATTATACCAACAGTAAAATATGGTGGTGGTAGTGTGATGGTCTGGGGCTGTTTTGCTGCTTCAGGACCTGGAAGACTTGCCGTGATAAAAGGAACTATGAATTCTGCTGTCTACCAAGAGATCCTGAAGGAGAATGTCCGACCATCTGTTCGTGTACTCAAGCTGAAACGAACATGGGTTCTGCAGCAGGACAATGATCCTAAACACACCAGCAAGTCCACCACCGAATGGCTGAAGAAAAACAAAATGAAGACTTTGGAGTGGCCTAGCCAAAGTCCTGACCTGAATCCTATTGAGATGTTGTGGTATGACCTTAAAAAGGCCGTTCATGCTCGAAAACCCTCTAATGTAACTGAATTAGGACAATTCTGCAAAAATGAGTGGGCCAAAGTTCCTCCAGGACGCTGTAAAAGCCTCATTGCACGTTATCGCAAACGCTTGGTTGCAGTTGTTGCTGCTAAGGGTGGCCCAACCAGTTATTAGGTTTAGGGGGCAATCACTTTTTCACACAGGGCCATGATGGTTTGGATTTTTTTTCACCTTTAATAATAAACACCTTCATTTACAAATTGCATTTTGTGTTTACTTGTGTTGTCCTTGACTATTGTTTAAATTGGTTTGATGTTCCGAAACACATAAGTGTGACAAACATGCAAAGGAACAAGAAATGAGGAAGGGGGCAAACACTTTTTCACACCACTGTATATATATATATATATATATATATATATATATATATATATATATATATATATATATATATATATATATATATATATATATATATATATCTCTAGTGTGTTGATTGCATTTTCACAGGAAATTCTAGACATAATTATTACCTGGTAGACAATGAACTCAATTATCATTTGTAATACATTTCACCAAGTAACAGTTACTTATAAGACTACAGCATAAAGTTTAATTTAATCTAGATTGCAGTGAAAAGAAAAATGAAGCAAACAACCCCTAAGTTCAGAATTACATTCTTATAAATGATCAACTATGGAAAGAGCAGTGTGTGATGATAGAAGTCACTTACATTATATGATGGCAATATGACTCACCTGGTAATTGGGTCTCTGTGAGCTTTGAAATGTTTCATTTTTTGCAGACCGGCTGTCTAAAAGTAAGCTATTAACTGCAATCAAATATTCAAATTCATTAACAAACATTATTTATTTTATACAATCTATTATACATGTAGTTTATCGCTACTTCTCAGATCTCTAGTTACTTGTCTGGACTGTCTTTCCAAAATAAATGTTTTGGATTGCATCTGTTGTATTTACAACATCGATAACATAACAGGCAAACATTTACTCTCTGATCTTATCAATGTATAATTATGAGGTTAGCAGTGGAACATACCAGTATGCTTAGAAGCAGTCAGTTGTGTGCAGTATCGGTGAGTTTGCCATATCAGAATACAGATGGCAATAAGAAAAAGAAACACAGAAATGCCTAAAGCCCAGTATTTAACTTCCTCTGAGAATGGTATCCGAATGTCCCACCAGGAGTTCCCTAAAGTAGCTGGTAGCAACATATTCCCCTGCCATGTACAGCACTATTGAGAAGGAGGCATATGGTGTTACTTCTGTCTGCTGCATTAACTGATCTGTACTGCTTGCTATTAAAATTTCAGACAACAAAAACAGTTCAACACATGACCACAAAATTTATGTGACATGGACTCTTCTTACTCAAATTCATACTGTGATATAAAGTCATCATCTACAATACAGTTTTGAGAGAAAAGACAATCATACAGTTTAATAACATCAACCTATTCTAACTTTATAAACAAAACAAAGTTGAAAATCATAAATGTATACAGCATTATTTGACAATCACTTACAACCATATCAATAACTATTACATTTCGCTCTGTTAAGTTCTAAGTTCCAACTACTATGTTAAAAAAACTGTACCTTTAAAAAAAAGATTCTCAGCTCTGCTTGTCGATATGTTTCAGCTACGTAAGTAGACTATAGACTGAGTGCAGGACATCAGCTGACAGATGATCAGCAAATACAAGGGAAAAACCAGTCAGAGCACTTTCTTATTTATCAGGTGAAAGCCTCTCTTTTACTTTCTAATTAGTGGACTCAGATAGAGTATGTACACAGTCACACTGCACTGTTGCAGCTCTCTTGAAATGAAAGAATGCCTCAGTAGGACACAGTAGGACTGCTCAGATCCTGTTATTTTTACCTTGCGTATACAGTGTAACATTACGTATACAGTATACATGGGGGATTTCTGCCTTAGAAAGAATAAAAAGAAATGTGTGCTTTTAATATAAACGGCATGTGCAATTATGCAACCTTCTAAGTCCATTAAATTCAAATCAAACTTTTCTTAT